CAGTCACAAGTAGCAAGTCAACTGTTCAATGTGGATCATCCATCGAAGTAGGCGTTACTGTCTAGGTAGGCGTGTTCATATCGAAGTGGGCGTTACTGCCAAGGTAGGCGTGTTCACATCACGTCCGGGTCACCAATGTGGGGAGAGTAGTTACAGACTATGTCAACCGTCATCTATGAGAAGGTACCCCGACATCGAGTCGAGTTAACATGTCTTATATACTAGTGAATTGTAGTTGTAATTTTGTAGTGGTAGATACGCTACACACTTACCGTTTCGAACGAGCTGAATGTATGCCTGGGATTTTATTCACGTCGTTCATGTTTTTTTCCTCGTCCTCTTCTTTCTGAAGAACGGGACATTATAGTATTTTGTTTTTATTTTTGCTTTCTTGTTTTTAGTATGTTTGCCCTGGTTACCTATTTGACTTTCTATGTACNCCCCCCCCCGTTGGTTGTCTAATAGATTTTTAAATAATTAATATTATCATTTTTTGAGGCCGGCCTTGCTGGTCGTTTATGGCGTCCAATGTTCAATAGTTTTTTTTAAATATTTATTATCTGAAATTTCGAATAAATAAATCTTTATGCTATGTTGATTTTTCTTATTTCTTTTTTAGGGTTACACACCACTTCATTTAGCTGCTATGTTTGGCCACGAAGAAATAATGGAAGTCCTTATAAATACCTATGGTAAGACAGGATTCATTATTATCATTCTCTTGTTTCTTTACTTTTCACATGCAGATGATAATTTAAAACAAAAACAAAAAAAAGTTTTTTTTTCGTCTTGTAAAGTAATCATAAGCCATAAAAAGATACAGAATTAAATGTAAACTGAAAAATAGTGAATAGTGTATTGAAAAATTAGTAAATACGATGTATATTCCGTTTCTCTTGGCTTTTTTCTATGAATTTAGAATGGTTATTAATAATAGTAAGTTAATCGAAGAGTAGTCGTATGCAACAATATATGTTATAGTCCAAAATTAGGAAATTTTGTTATCGTCACGCAGTAACGTTTTTAAATGTGACCACTTTTAAAAATATATGGTCACCTTTTCAAAAATTGAAAGTTAATTATTAAGTTAACTTTCAGTGGAACGATTAAATTTTTTAATTTTCCTCTAATACCTTGATTTAAATCAAATTCTCTTAACACAATTTAATTTTAAATATTTTTTAGTGACATAAGACTAAAAGTACAGTACACTCTGATATCTCGAAAACCTTATTATGTTAAAAAAATATTTTTCTCCTTGGTATTATATAACCACCTCATTTTAATTTGAATTCCTATGTCGAAGAGTTTTTTTTCTTCCTTAAAACTTTGTTTTGTCGAATTTTTTTAGAAATAGAAACTATAACTATTTTATTTTATAACCGTCGTTGAACCCAATCCAGAAGACAAGGGAACTCCTAAATCAAGTAGTGGGAGAAATGTGCCATCATGTAGGACTTTTTTTGATGGAACTAACCCGCGTTTGCGTTGCATGGAGACGGACACCACGAAAACGTACCACGGTTAGCTTGACGGCAAGGGGACTCTGACCCATGATCCATCTGCCACTGAGGATATTTTCCGTCAGCACTGTGGTTGGTGCAAACCGGATGCAGAGTTCGTATCGACCCATTGGAAGGCGAACACTCTATCTCCTGAGTCATCGCGGCTCAACTTGAACTTCTGTGCTTATAAACAATGCGTAAACATAAAATAAGCAATATTAACAATAGAACAAAGTAAATAGATTACAATAAATACAATAGAAAAAATAACAATAGAACAAAAAAAAACAATATTAACAACAGAATACAAGAGAACAAAATAAATAGAATACAATAGAACAAATAAACAATAGAACACAAAAAATATTAACAATGGAACAAAATAAATAGATTGCAATAAATATAATAGAACAAAATAAATAGAATACAATAAATACAATAGAACAAATAAACAAAAGAGCAGAAAAAAAACAATATTAACAATAGAACAAAAAACAAACAATATTATAAATACAAATGAGCTCGATGAGAAATGATTAAATTGACGTGCGAATAATGCACACATAAAAAATTATCAGCTTAAAAACTTTGATTTTAAATTGTGGAGAAAGCTATTCTCATTTCCAAATTAATACCATACTAGTTTTTGATGGAAATTTTTTCAATGGATGGAAAGGTTGGAGACATACCTGATTCTGATACGAAGCTGGTTCTTTTGCAGTCATAAAATCTAAATGACCTTTTTTAACCGATACATTTATAAGAACTCGAGCAGCGTTTGCTGGAACTTATCACTCTTCTCCTTGCAAAAACGCCAATAAAATAACGTTGACGCAGCACCACTGTTTTTATGACAGCCATCTCTGATCGAGGATATTTCGTCGAATAAAATAGTTTCAGTTCTTTTTTTCTTTTTTTTTTTTGGTGATTTTAACGTGTATACTAAGTTAAAGAATAAGTATACTAAGTTCTTGGTATTGTTCAGTTTAACATAATTTTCTTGTACCTCCATTATTTTGCATCTCTGGCCAAGCCATAAAAATCTCGTATTGATATCTTAAATATATATGGTATTAAGCTGCTCCAAAACTGAAAATAACTGCTTTAAAAGAAAATAATAATAATAATAACCTGCTCCCTAATTGTTCCTAAAATTTATTTTTGATGTCCCACCCCTGTAAATGCAATTATATGATTACTTTTTAAAATAATTAGGATCGTGTTTTTTTTCTTCTTAAAATGTAAGAATTGTCAAGGTTTTTAATTTTTGTTTTGATAAATGAGTGGGAACCTCGTTACTAAACACCCTGTATGCCAAGATATTTAAAACAGGAAGAAGAAAAAAAATGAAAACACCGACTTAATCGTAACATGCCTTTCGGATTTTTATCGAAAATAAAGTAACAAACCTTTACTACGCTTTAAGAACATCCTTATATGCTTACATTTTCTGTCATTTGGCCGTAGATGGCATCGTTTGACTCTGCCTTGGCGCGACTGTTTCCTTTTCAAAGATAATCTTTGTTAGAAGCAGAGTCAAAAAGAAAAATAATAACAATAAAATAAACTTTTAAAAGTCTGATAATTTCATTTATGCCTTCGCTCTTTTAGTCTTCCTTACACTTTGCGAATCTTAAAATTTGATACCTTGAGAAACAGCGATCAGTTATATTCTGTTTCGTAGAACAGTTTATCTATCCCTGTTTGATAAAATTGTTGTAAAACCCGAAACCCTGTGTTCACCACAGCTGTTTCGCTGTTCTAAAAACGCATTTTATGAAGAAATAAAACGTTTAGAACTGCTAAATTCTTATCCCTCAGTTTTTTTTTCTGTTNTTTTTTTTTTTTTTTTTTTTGCCATTTCTTTTTTTTATATCATAAATTGCAGTAATTCGTTATAATGACGATTCGTAATAACCGGTGAAATTGTCACTGCAGCTAGTTTGTTCTATATAACCGAATGCACTGGAATTTCTATTATTTGGAATTTCTTATTTATGCATGGGAAAAGGATTAAAAATTGCAACAAAAAAAAATATGTCTAAATTATACTTGCATGGGTATAATGGGTCCTCAGCAAAATAACTTGGGCATTCATTGGACCAATATTTACGAATCTGGACTCAATAAGGGTTCAAAGGACCGTTGTTTTCCGATATTGACCCTAAATACTATTCTCTGATTCACCCGATATTGTACAGCCAATTTACAACCAATATCATATACTATATATAATAAATATATGAACCTGGATAGCCTGGTTGGTAGTGCACTGGACCCATGCCCAAGACGTCGTGGGTTCGATCCCTGCTGGACGAAGACTCCCCGTGTAGTAAATGGTGACTGATGCACGTTAAATCTATCGGGTCCATGTACCCATAGCAAATCAATCCTGTGGAGGTACTGACACAAGAGTTTTCTTGTCTTCTGGATTGGTTCAAAAATACTAGGTTACGGACTTGAAACATTGGTAGTCGTAAACCCAAAATNACCCTAAATACAATTCTCTGATTCACCCGATATTGTACAGCCAATTTACAACCAATATCATATACTATATATAATAAATATATGAACCTGGTTGGTAGTGCACTGGACCCATGTCCAAGACGTCGTGGTTTCGATCCCTGCTGGACGAAGTCTCCCCGTGTAGTAAATGGTGACTGATGCACGTTAAATCTATCGGATCCATGTTCCCATAGCAAATCAATCCTGTGGGGGTACTGACACAAGAGTTTTCTTGTCTTCTGGATTGGTTCAAAAGTACAAGGTTCCGGACTTGAAACATTGGTAGTCGTAAACCCAAAATTGGTTCGGCTGTCCAACACACACACACAAGTTTTATTTACTGCGCATAAGCTGCAAGTAAATAGAACTCATAAAATAAGTTCAAAATGTAGAAAAAACATGGAAAAATTACAGAACAATGAAAAAAGAAAAATAGTAATAAAAAAAAATAATAAAAATCCGGAAAAAAACGATATAATCTTTTCATCAGCTCACACGATTTTGTCCGCAAAAAGGAGTGCTTTCTAATATTGTATCAATATAGCCAAAGCAAAATGTATCAATACAATAGTGTGAGGAGCCCTCAACTGTATTATATTGATACATTTTGCTTTGGCTATCTTGTTGCAATGTTAGAAAGCACTCCTTTTTGCGGATATAATCGTGTGAGCTGATGAAAAGATTACATGTATTAATTTTCCGGATTTTTTTTCCTTTTTTCGGAAATTTTTATTATTTTTTTATTATTATTCTTTTTCCCTTTTTTCATTGTTTTGTAATTTTTCCATGTTTTCTCTACATTTTGAATTTTATGTATATATAACGTTTGTTTCTGTGTCCATCATCTCTTCAGGATCATCATAATTTCCAACAACCCTGCATTGCTATAGGATTTCGAGTCTTAAGTATTACACCCTTCTCATCTTAGACTTTCTGAATCTTTTAAGTTAGACTGCCGTATATATTGGGGGGGGGGGTAAACTATTAACAGAGATATTCGAATTAATCAAGCTAGATAATCTAGGTTTAACTGTGATTTAATTCGTATTTTCTTTGTTTGTTCGTAGGTGCTGATCCAAGTCTAAGGGACTATACCGGAAAGAGAGCCCTCCACTATCTCCCCAAGAACCAATCAGAGCGTAAGAAAAAGATTTCTTCTGTTGCACGAGTATCTCTTTTTAACAAGACATTGCACCATTCCCTGCCTAAGAGAACGGCAGTGGCTCCCAAAAACCGCCTCCTCTCTTCGCTTTGCTTGCCCACTTTTGTGGATAAAAGCAATTGCCGCTTTTGATTGTTGCATGGCTTTTATCTTGTGTTCGGTGCATGCTTTTCTTTATTTAAATCAATTAACAAAGATGTATGCGTTTATTTATTTTTTAAGAATTATAGAGCAGGTTAGTGGAAGAATATGGACATTTTATTGAATTCGTAAAAATCGTTCTTAGAATCTTCTTTTTCGTGAATTAACAAAGATATATGCGTTTTTTTTTAAACAAATATAGAGCAGCTTAGTGGAACAATATGGACATATTAGTGAATTTGTATAAATCATACTTAGAATCTTTTTTCTAGTGGAGTAACAAAGATATTTGCGTTTTTCTTTTAACAATTATAGAGTAGCTTAGTGGAAAAATATGGACATTTTAGTGAATTTCTAAAAATTGATCTCAGAATCTATATTTTTTTTAATGAATTAGCAAAAAAATCTGCGTTTTTTTTCTTCTTTTTTTTTCTTTTAAGCAATTGTAGAGCAGCCTAGTAGAAGAATGTGGACATTTTAGTGAATTTCTAAAAATCGATCTTAGAATCTATATTTTTTTTAGTTAATTAAAGATATTTGCGGTCCCCCCCCCCTTTAACAAGTATAGAAGTATAGAGCAGTTTAGTAGAAGAATATGCACATTTTAGTGAATTTGTAAGNTTCTAAAAATCGATCTTAGAATCTATATTTTTTTTAGTTAATTAAAGATATTTGCGGTCCCCCCCCCCTTTAACAAGTATAGAGCAGTTTAGTAGAAGAATATGCACATTTTAGTGAATTTGTAAGAACCGTTCCTAGAATCAATCTTTTTTTTTTTTTTTTTTTAATAGATTAACAAAAGAATATGGACATTTTAGTGAATTTGTAAAAATCGTTCTCAGAATCTATCAAACAACAGGAATATCTTTATAAAACATATCGTTTGACCCCCCCTCCCTCAAAAAAAAAAAGAGAGATAGAAATGTTTTTTTTTTAAACAAATATAGAGCAGCTTAGTGGAATAATATGGACATATTAGTGAATTTGTATAAATCGTTCTTAGAATCTTTTTTCTAGTGGAGTAACAAAGATATTTGCGTTCGTACGTTCCTCTCAGAAAACGCTTTTTCCCTCACTAAGTCAAATTTAATTACATTTATAGATGGCGCTGCTGGGTGAAAAACTATAAAACGATTTTTTTCCCTTCAAAATAACCAGTTGGCAACAATAACATGGAGCAGATGAAATCAACAGACTCTCGTGCAAGTACTTGAGTTAGAATGTTCTGATCGGTTGCAGAAAATTTTGGTTGTGCTGCTCTATCTGTTGACGAGTTTTGTTATTAATGTAGAAACTTGGTGATAATAAATAATCTGGTTTTCTCAGCAGACTTCCTTGCAAATACTTGAGTAAGAATGTTCTAATAGGTGGCAGAAAACTTTGGTTCCGCAGCGCTATCTGTCGATGAATTTTGTTATTAATTTGGGATTTTGGTGATACTAAATAACCTGGTTTTTTCAGCAAAACTCAATAAGCCATACAATTCTGTGGATCTCCGACGTATTTATAGCTAATCATTGCATGCCCTCAGGAAATGTTAGTGTTTTTATTATGTTGTTTCATTAAGTTCTTTAAATAATCTAGTGTTTTGTTGCTCATTTTTTCTCTGAATTTTGTTTGCTTAAGTTGCCATATTTCATATTTTATTTGCTGAAGTTGCCATATTTTATATTTTGTTTGCTTAACATTACTAATATTTTATATCAAAATGTGCAGTGAAAATATTGTACAGTGTTTAAAAAAAATGAAATACATATGTTACATCGTCACAGTAGTATTATGTAGTATATGTATTAAAACATTGCTTCGGATTCAGAGTTATTTTTTTAAGGAGAATTACCGATGATAAACCGACTGACTATAAAATTTTGTTTGATTCTGAGCGTAATTATATGGTATGAAACGTCCCCTGAAAATAAATAATAAAATTCAATTTATGACCCTGAGATACGAACAGCTTTACTTATTTTATTATTTAAACAAGCATTTCGATATTAATAAAGTGAAATCGAAAGATTAATATATTTTTTCATTTTCTTCAAATACCTTGATTTAAATCGAATTCTTTTAACACAATTTTAATTTTAAAAATTGTTTAGTGTCGTCAATCTAGAAGTACAGTACACTCTTGATATCTCGAAAGCTTTGTTATGTCAAAAAAATGTTTTTCCCCTTGGTTATTATATATCCACCTCATGTTAATTTGATTTCCTATGTCGAAGAGTTTTTTTTTTTCTCCAAATCTTGTTATGTCGAATTTTTTTCCAAATAGAAATTTACTTTTTACGGAAAAAGCACAAAGTAAGTTTTTCGTAAACCAATTATATTCTATTTAGTGCATAATTATTTTTAACTTACTCTTAAAAATAAAATTATCATTGTTGTATGTTGTAGATTCACTGATCCCTTTAATATTTCTGTCCCTGGACCAAGTCCCAATTAAGGGACTTCAAATAACTTTTGTCCAGATATTTTTAATAGGGGTTGATAGATCGTAGATCTTTAGTGGCATTATTTTAGCCTTTGTTTGGATTTTTTATCTTAAGATGATTGGCTTTTAACTTTTAAGGGGGTAAGATTCTTAGGGAGTGCCAAAAAGATTTCCTGTAGTGATGCGAAAGAATTGAGGAGGAAAAGGTTGTTTAGAACGTAGTTAAGATAGAAGTGTGTTCATAATAAAAAAGAAAAAAGCTTGGGACAAATGGCAAAAGATAAAATCCATTTTCTTGCTCTCTTAAAATGGTTTCCGATGGAACACCGAAGTCAAGCATCGCTGGCTGCGGTCAGTAAGCGGATGGGTGACCACTTTGATCAGCCTGCGAAGAGACCGAGTGTGCGCGGTATCGGTCCTCGTTAAACTGTTCGACCGTGAAGTGCTCGACTTCGCGCTCAGGTCGTCAGGCTACCGAAGCATCGAAATTGCAATGGCATGTCTTCGAATCATCCTTAGAGATGTTTCCCAGACCGTCGTCAACACCCCATTGTGCAGCTCTAGTGCGACGTAAATAAAGTAATTACCCACCTATTTTCTTAATAGTTTGTTTGAACTTTTATGACTTATTTCATAAATTTTTAGTTACTTTTTACTCCTGATATTTTAAAATTTAATAAAGAAAGTATGTTAGTTCATTTTTTTTAAAATTGAATCTCATGCGTAATTATTAATTTCTGCCATTAATTTAATCGATTAGTTCAACTACTTAATACATAAAACTGCAAAAAAATGCCACTTGTAACAAAGCAAATTTTCTAGCTTGATTATAGTCTAACGAAAAAAATTTTTGGCGGTTGAAAAAATTATAGAAAATTTTAATGACCCTATCCTTTAAAATCATTTTTTTCTTCTTCTAGATAGTTCAATTCTCATTTTACAATTGTAATTTTGAAACAAACTTAACATAAACATCAATCTACAGTAATATGATTCACAGAAAGTAGAATTAAACATCGTTTTACGCATTTAATCGTTGGAGGGGAAAAAATAGAAGCTTCTGTTGGGTGAGAGAGCGAAGGATCACACTTGGAAGTTTCTTTTTCTATGAACTGAATAGCTGCAAAAAGCGTATAAGAAAGAACCAACTTCTCAATACAGCAATCGACAAAATGGCCCTTTCTGTCGCTTTCATTTTCCCTTTGCTTTCAACGGACCATTCAAGTTGAAAGAAAAGAAAGGGAATAAAAAAAAGAAATGTACTTACAAAAATCCCTAGCCAATCCCTGAGTTATCCGAGTAAAAACCATTCAAGTCGAGAAGGTTTTTCCCTTACTTTTTCAAGGAAAATACTCTCTTTATCCATGTCTGGAGAAGGCAGAGGGATTCCAGCAATTTTTCCCCACCCCTTGATCCAGTGTTATACAGGTCTTTAAATGCCAGTAGACTGTGCCGCACCAAAATGTTTAGCTGGATGAAATTCATGGCCCTCCAAAAAAAAAGAACGCCAAACTCTCCATGGCGGACACAGAAAAAGCGCCATCCATCACTCGTGTGACAGATGCTTGAGGTAGTTGTTTGCATGTGAATTGGATCCTCGGCAGTTTCTTTTATTTATTCATTCTACCTGGAAAGCACCCTATTTTTTTTCCTTTTCCCACTTTCCTTCTTTGTCCCCTTTTTTTTGTTCCATGGATTTCAGTCACCAATTCTGAATTCTCTTTTGGGGTTGAGGCCGGATTTCATCCCCAGTTAATGGATTGGTTTTTTTTCCTCTGCCAACAGTGTTTAATCATTTGCCATTTTTTTCCCTGTACAGATGCTGACGTCTTCTTCAGAATCAAAGTTAAGGTTCTGTTGCGCATCTTTCTTATTAATTGATTTTATTTTTAATGACTTGAGAGCTTTTCTTCGTGCAAAACTTATTAGCTAAATCGGGTGCACGGTCTTTTTAGTCACCAGCATTGAATCTTTTATTACGTAAGTTTTATTCGGTTTTTCATTTTCAAGGAAGTTTTTATATATAAAAAAAAAATAAGAATCGATAAGAACTACAGGACTACTACTTTTTATTTCTTATACCGCCGGACACCCGATTTAACGAATTCATGGGACCGAAAATATCATCCGCTGAATTGGGGATAATTCGTAATATCGGGGGCAAAATAAAATAAAAAATTCATTACCCTTATGGAACATTTTATTTTATAACCGTCGTTGAATAACTGACCCAATTTTTGGCTTCACGACTACTAATGTTCAACTCCGTAGCCTTGTCATTTTGAACCTCTCTAGAAGACAAGGAAACTCTTGGATCAGTAATTCCAGGTGTATTAATTTGTTATGGTAACATGGAGGACTTTGCGACTCGAAAGATTTAACGTGCATCAGTCACCATTCACTAT